TAAGGAGAACACTTCAGGTTGTCATCTCATTCACCACATATGCATATCATTTTCATTCACCTTATTTTATAGAAAGCTGTGGACAATGGGTTGACTGCAGTTGTGACTGACGGGATACATAGACTCCCCCCCGAAGAGCTGGGCAAGGATGGGCAGCTCTACACGATCCATGGAGTTTGCAACGGAGGTGTAGGTAGGTGATCCACTTGCCATAGTCGTATATCAGCCAATTACATTTATGCAGATGTCCCGCTCGTACACGTGCTCACAAAGAAGAAAAACCTTTCCGTGTACGAGAAGGTCTTCAACACTGTCAAACAAGAACTACTGGCCCTCGGCGTCGATCTTCAGCAACTACGCATTATAATTGATTTTGAGCGAGCAGCGCTAGCGGCTTTGAGGGTAAGCGTTTTAACAAAAACGTGAAAGACTAAACCACATAATCGTCATTGCAGAAGCTTTTCCCTCCTTAGTGCATGGATGCGCGTTCCACTTGGCGCAGGCGTGGAACAGAAAGGCACTTTCGCTTGGGCTTAAGCCGGAGATGAAGGACGAGCGCGTGCTCGCTTGGTGGATGAACATCAAGGGTCTCATGTTTCTCCCTCCTCATCTTCACAGATGCCTGCTTTCTTTCGACCATCCGTCAACGAGCACGCCGCATACCAGAAGTGCAAGAATTTTCTAATTTACTTGCACAAGAACTGGTATGACAGGCCTTTTGCCGGAATGTGGAACAAGTGGGACAAGAAGGAGATAAGGACAAGCAACATTGCGGAGACGTACCACCGGTGAGTGAAGATTCTTCAGCTTATTAGCCGCTCAGCTTCTTGAAAGGTCACTTTCAGGGTTCTACGAGTTTTGATACTAGAAAATCAGGCCCCGGTGCGCAAAACGGGCATTGATGTGCTTAAAAGGTAGCGACAACTCAGCAATGTGCGCACTGCGCAATTTGGAAAGAGAAGTGATGTACAACGAAGGATGGTAATATTTCATATGTTTTAATAAACATTTGTTCCTTTGTGTTTCTTTTTGCTCTATGACGTGATATCCCGGCGGCGCTCCGCACGCAACGCATGCGCGCGCGTTGTTCTCTTTAGGACAGGTGTAGTGTTTCTAGGACAGAGCGGTTCAGAAGGACCTACACCCTCTGATATGAACGTCAAACTCATGCCTGGACTTTTCTTTTTCGTTATATGCAGATCGAGACGTATAGGCAGCAACAAATCAAAGACTTTTTTCCATGTCAATTTTGTGCTCCTGAGTTGACCATTCAAGCGTCACTCCACCTCTCATTTTCTAGGCTCGCAAAGACGGCTATGCTCATTTCATCTAATGCTGTGCTGTTGTAGAAGAGGTTATATCCATCACTGATATCGCATAATTCCATCCCATCATTTCGCTTCGTTCGTACTAGCAATATCCTTTCGTTATATTCTCAGGAATTCCGCGACTCTTGATATGTCCTTTGAAGCTTTCGTCGTAAATGTTGCTTAATCGGAACGCAAAGCGCCAGCTTTCTACAAGTTTCCGCCCACAAGATGATAGTGACCATCGTCTGCTTTCATAAGACAGGGCTGACTTTTGTTTATATTCGTCGGGCTCGGGTATTCGTCTCTAAATGGGAAACCCCAACTTTTACGAAGCTGGTACTCTGCCTGCTCTTCGCGCGCCTGAGGGACAGTCCGACTCTGGAAGACGAAGCAAGAGTCATGTTTTGCGAACGATTTGGACTTCACCGAAATGAGGTTCTCTAAGAAACGAAAAGGACGAATTATTCAACTTCCTCTATCAAATACTAAAGCAAAATTTTTTTCGAAGGTGTGAAGCATTACTAGACGGTCCTCTTTAGATTGGCATTATTCCAAAATTTGTAGCATCATTAGGATTTCATAAAGCCGAGTATCAAATTTGGTTTTGTTTGAAAAAGTAGCTATAGCTAGAATCCTGCAAGTATCGATACTAAAAGATGAAGTTCCAAGCGTATAAATATCGAGAAGCACATAGCAATCAGAATATCTAAAATTCACTTTTTTCAGGGCTGTTTATTATAATATTATTGGTAGATTACAACAACACCTTTACCGTTTGCAACTGCAAGATAAGGGTGGACGCAGAAAAGAAAACCCAGTGTATTCCGCTAATGCTCCCCTATGAATCTTCGGCAACGCTCGCTACGAGGAAGTACATTGTTGAAGTTTTCAAATAAAGCAAAGAATCATTTTTTTTCAAATGCTTAGTTAAGTGTTATCGGTATCTGGACATAACAAGATGACGTAGACATCCTCGTTGGGACCCACATCATTCGTGTTTTCTCAATTCATCCCAGCTTTGTTTCTGCGATCAAAAAATACTACATAAAAGTTCTCCGTTGAATCTGGGCAATTTGACGATCGACTATTTGATAGCTGCGTATGTCTATGAATTATCTGTTCTTCTTACCATTAACAAGTAAGAAGACTCATTCATTGTTCAACCAGTGCAGCAGTAACAGTACTCGCAGTGGCTAGCAAGAATCTTTTAAGTATCGATTACAATTTTACCAGTGACGATTGCACTGGATCATGGAGAAGCTGACAAATGTAACCAAAACTCTAGGAATTTTAAATTTCTTAGAGGCACTGCATTTTTATAATAAGAAAGCTCAACAACAATTATCTACCTGATCTGACCT